AATTTTAATAACTTTATATGAAATTGTGTAAGGATATATATATATATATATATATATATATATATATATATATTGAACCTGCGCAATGTAAGATAACCTCAAAACTAAATCAAAATTCTCTTACCTTCTAATTGTTGTTTTTATCACACAAGTTTGATATTAGTTAGTCTTTTACCAATTAGGAACACTAAATCTAGTACGAAAGACGTTCGTTAGAACGAGAATGGACTGATTTTCGATTCAGATACATCTTACTGATTATTATTTACGATACAATTATCAAAGTACTAAGTTCAAACATTCTCATTACATTTTGACGTGAAATAAACATCGAGAAGCGTGTTTGCAACAAGGCAAAACTGACAGCATGGATAATGAGTCAACAAAAAAATGGAGAAATCAGTGGGTCCACCTAGGTGCGATAGAATACTCCGAGGGAATTGATGTCTTGGATTTATAAATTATATATTTAATGTAATATTATACTCTTATACATGATATTACTGCATTGATAGTAGAGAAAGACTTTTTTTATATTATTTTTGAACAGAAATCAGAACCTTACGTCCTATGAGCTGTTGAGCTGAAACTTCTCCTTACTTCGTATTTTTTAGATGGAAACTCTATGGTTAATCCATCCATATTTGATGATTTTTTGTTATTAGAATTAATCTAATAAGGCTGACATTTTATTGGTGCAGCAATGCCGGGCAAGGGCTATTTTCACTTGGAAACATATTGCTATCTATATTTTCAAGTGAAAATCGTTGTCACTGCTACCTGACAACAGGCTGCTCGAAGTGGGTATCGAACCCGGGACCTCTGAAACAGAGAAAAATTTCGAGAGTTTCAAAATGTGATGCTGGAGGCAAATGGAAAAGATAAAGTTGACAGACAAGAAACAAATGAAGAAGTCCTGAGAAGAGTGGGCGGGCACAGAAAGTCTCGGAGCACAATTCTGAAAAGAGAAGTAAACTGGATCGGACCCGTTTTGCAAAAAGAGTACCTCCTGCACGACGCCGTCGAAGGTAAAATAAAAGGACTGAAAGGAAACGGAAGAAAAAGAATGCAAATGATTGACGACTTACGCGAGAAGAAAAAATACAAGGAACAGGAAGCCGAAACGCAGGATTAAGAAGCATGGAAGCATAATTTTGCAAAGAAAAATACATAAAAAAGTGTCAAAAGTAGGGGGGATAGTAGTAATGGAAAGGGTAGACAACGAAAGGTAAGAAAATAATTTATTTGTGGTGGCTCACATCATAACGTTGTTTTGACAACGCTATGTTATGCTTCTTTCTTGGTATTAAAATCAGACCAAATGTTATGTGTTTGTGTAAAACGCCTGACAATAAAGCAAATACCAAGCATTTGGAATGTTTTTAAGTTATGAAAGAAGCATAACGTAGCGTTGTCATAACAACGTAATGTTATGATCTATTTTATCAGAGTATTGGTCAATGAATTTCCCGATTATTTAATACTTTGTTTATCATTGATTTAATATATCCGGCATATTTTATATCTATATCCATATTTACTATTTCCATCTTGTTTTCTATAGAACAACTGCTATGGTCGGTTTATCACCGCGCTATACGATTCACATGTAGTTGAACGCTAGGCGTAGTAAACCGTAAGAAAATAATAACTTCATCTTCTGAACATTTTAAAAATTGCATTCAAATATAGAATCTATTCTAAGAATTGTCGAAATGCATAAACCTTTAAAAATCATGTATCGTAGTATTAGTAATATTTAAAATTCTGACTAAACCAAAAAAATGATCATAAAGAAAATATTAAAGATTATTCAATGTTCAAAAATAAAAAAAGTCAAACAATTGCCCAAAAATATATAATATATTTAATGAATAGTTTATTTTGATTAATATATTTCTCGTAGTTTATCGACTTTCTTATTTATATGAATAGAATGATTATTTCAAAGAGATATTCAACGATAATTTCCTGTACGATAATATAACAATGTCAGCGAAATCTTGATTCTAAGTAACTACTTCTCATTTTCATTCATTCTCCTTAAAATGCTTGAGATGCAAAATCTCGAAAAATCGCCTGATATATTCTCAGAACTATTCAGTGATGAGTTGTAATAATGTAGCTAATAAGGGTGTATTAAATTTGATCAATCAGATATAACTAATTAATTGTTAATATTAATGTTTTGTTCATTTTGAATTTAAATTTAGGAAAAACATATCGGTTTACAGAAAATATTTTTCCCATTAGTCTGAAATATATCGATAAATGTTAAGACAAGTGATCAAGAGTGAAAAATTTGAAGATTGCCTGATAAAACAATTATCAAATTTATTGGTTTTGTATAGATTTGTAAAAAAAGTTCTCGAATACAGATTAAAATTTTAAATATGTGTAAAAGTATATAATTTTTTTAATGAGACTGTTATTTGGATTTTAGTCTTTGAAAGTACTTGACAAAAAAGGCATTATATACCCCTTAACTTTGAAATAATTATATATGGCAACAATTAATTAATAATAGTTTTGATCATAAAAACGTAAGTATTGCAGCTCCGACAAACAAATTAGTTATCCCCTATATATATATATATATATATATATATATATATATATATAATACAAAAAAACATATAGATGAATAATAATTTGGGAATTATTTAATAGCACCAAAAAAAATATTCCAATTCGCTCATCAGCACGCTCCATGCATTTGCAAGCACAAAAATGGGGTCACTTCCTAGTTCCGAATTTCACTTTCGTCAAAAACCGCGTCTGATTTTCGACGATTCTTAGCGGTCTGAGAACCTACTACTGGCATAGCAATTTGGTACGTCACAAGTAGATTGTAGGAGAGAGCCATTGGTAAAATTTTACTCAATACTTTTGATAAGAAAGTAAATTTATGGGATAATATTATGGGCCCTCTAAGGGGCACAACTAGTGTAAAATTTTGAAAAAATCGATTTTTGTTTTTTTCATATTTCGGTAGATTGCACATTTAAAAATAACATATTAAAATTTCAAATCGATATCTCGAATAGTTTTTGAGTTACAGCCATTTAAAAAGTATGCATATATTATATAGTACAACGATCATTTAAATTTAAACGCGTTTTTCTCGAAACAGCATTTTCCGAACTTGCTGCAGTGATTACTCAAAAACGAATGATTCGATCACTATCAATTTTTTTTACATGTTCTGTATATAGTTCTCCGTAAAATGAACTATCGATTTTTTGATCGGATCAAAAATCGAAATTTGGCAGTCGAAAAACGACCAAAATTTTGGGTAAAATTCGGCTTTTTTTTCAAAACGCCGCCATTTTGTCAATTTTTGATTAATTTTTTTTATCGTAGTTCACTTTACAGACAATATTATCTAGTTTAGCGACATTTTTTTTTTATTTCATCCACGTAGAAGGGCGGAATCACTGCAGCAGTGAAGGGCCTTTTTTGTCGCGCCGTTGGAGATCGACGATAACTTAAAAAATATTTAGTTTTTTTCTTCAAAAATTTTACTACGTATTCTTAAAACATGTATAAATATATTTCCAAAATTTTGAAATTATTGATAAAGTAGTTTTTTTAATATAAATTCCCAAAAATCACCATTTTTTTAGGCGGTTACACTAATTGTGTCCCTTAATTAAATATCGATATAACTGTATGTATATATGTTCGGATACCCATTTTTCGGTACAAATATACAAATAATTCAATTATTCAAATCGGTTGATGTGTGCTCCGAAATCGTGGACAAAAGATGTATAAAAAACATTCAATTCCTGCTGGCGGAAAGGCGTTGTGATTGGCAAAGTCAGGTCCAGTCGTTTTAGAAAAGCAAAATTAGCAGTTGTTAAAGCAGAAAGTGCAAAAATAGCAGTTTTTGTGAGAACGGATCACCCGATCACAATACTTCAAGAAACATGTTGCTTTTTAAATATATCTATAGAATATACTGTGTTTCGTTTTTTAAAAATTGAGTTGAGATTATTCGAATCTATAAAATTTTGTAAACTAACTCGGGAAGTAGCTCAATGATATATTATTTTGTATAAAATGGATAATAAACTTCAAAACTGATTGTGAGATAAAATAGAATAGAAAATATACCGAATTCTGTAAATCATTCAATATATACTCCCAACTAATTAAACAAATTTGAAGATTTATGTATTATGTATATTTAAGCAGTATTAACAACAGTTTTCACTTGGAAATATAGATGTTTCAAAGTGAAAATAGGCCCAATCCGGCATTGCTGCATCAATAATTTCATCATACATGGGTGATTGGGTTTCCATCTGAAAAGACTAGTATAAAAACGAATAGCACCACAGCTTATAGGAGTGTTACGTTCTAATTGCAGTTGAAAATTAAAAAAAAAATTGTTCTTCAGTCTTCGATATCAGCGCTTTGTCTATGCATTTTGGTAGTCCGGCGGGCCACGGGTGGGTTATCCGCACGGAAAGGCAGGCGGTTCCATCATAATATCGCGGACTCTCATATATCGTCCGGACGTAGAACGAAACGTACATATGTAACAAACTGAACTACCGAAGTACGACACGAGCGCATTGCACCGTCGTGGATTTTTCGGTCATTCGTTGCGACCAAGCGAGGCCCGTAGTCGCGGAGCTGTAGACCGAGCGAGGCGTAGAGCCAGAGTATCGCGCGCGTTCAGCCAGTGCGTTCGCGACCGTAGAGTGAGAGGTGCAATGCTGTGCTACTTATAGCATCATCTGTTGCATCACAATTTCAGTCAGTCGCGAAAAGCCGACGCGCGTGGTTTTGATAAACACATTGTTTTGACAACAGACTTAAATCAAACATTTTGTGTCAACGAATTTAAATTAATATTTACAAATGTTTCCGCCGCAAGGATTCATCAGGATTAATTAATCTACGTTTTTGTGCTTTTTGGACTTGATCTTATGAAAAACAATTTGTGAGTGAAGTGGTTAACATTATACTTCTGAAAAAAAAGTGTTAAGTGAGTGTTGATGACATCGTTTATTGAAGATGGATTCTCCGCAGATGTATGACAACAACACCCAACAACATGCGGGTCATGGCAACCAAGGCATGGGGGGTGCCGGACCCGAGATGAAAAAAATGTCGCCCAGCAACAACAATAACAACCCCGCAGCTATAAATCATAACAATCCTCAACAACAAAATCAACAACAACAGCAACAACAACAACAGCAACAGCAGCAAAATCAACATCAAGTCATGCACGGAAAAAATTTGGCACCCGTGCTTGCAGTGAAAAACCACTTGATACAATCTTATGGCCAACCGCAAGAATTGGAAGATCTCAACCCGCAGGAGATCACATTGGATCTTCAGCATTTGATAGATGACCAATTCAAGGATCCTGCCGAGTTGGCGTTGTTCCAAGACATGATGCCTCCGGGTGCTGTCGCATCTGCCAGCAAACAGTTGCAACATTTACAACCACCCCGCGCTCATCCGACGTCGCAGGGAGCGGCTTACCCGCGTACAACACTTGCCTACATGCCGCAATCCGTACATGCCGGAGCCGCCTATGGACACGCGCAGAACTCAAATTCGAGTGACGAAAACAGTTCGGCAAGCGACATAGCCAATATCAAAGAAGAACCTGTTGATCCTCAGGACTTCAGAAGGCAATGCCAACAGAATGGAACGGCTACTTATCCTACAGTCGCCCCTTACGGAATGGGCTCAGCCGGTGGTTATTTAAGCAACGGTAGTGGTGCTTCATTCACAGCTTTAGCTCCAGCGGGTTTACACCATCAGGCTTTACATCATCTAGGACCAGCTCCCCATATACCTCTGAAACATCACAGGCCAGGTGGTATACCGCATAACGTACGCAAACACTCAGGAAAAAGTGTTGATAAGGGAACAGATGAATACAGGAGGCGAAGGGAAAGGAATAACATTGCTGTCAGGAAAAGCCGAGAAAAGGCAAAAGTGAGGTCCAAGGAAGTAGAAGAAAAAGTGAAAACTTTAATGAGGGACAAAGACGCACTGATGAAGCGCCTGGAAGTTGTCAGCAATGAATTACAGATTCATAAACAATTATACGTTCATCTTATGAGCCTAAATCACCCAGAAATAAATGAAATCTACCGCAGCATGTTGAATTTGTCAAATTTACCAGACCATGGCATGTAGCGTATGTGAGAACCGCGAGTTATTTACGCGAAACCCGATCTCTTATTTATTTTATCCTTTTACTGTTTTTCCCTGATGACAATAAAGACACAGTACTTTTAATTGAAAAAGTAATGAAACTCTAAACCAAATATTTAAATAAAGACGGACGATAGGTTAAAAATGTCTTTGTAGTGACATTACGGTATGTGGTGATTTCTGTAAATAAAGTGTATGAACGGTTTTGAAATGATGTTAAACGTCAAAAATGTGGGTGATTTTTTATTCGTAAAAAGAAACAGAGATAATATATTTACTTAGGTTGTAAAATGCTACAATACCTTTTTAGTATAATAACAAAAGTCCACGTTGTGGATTAAAAGAGTGCAATCATATATGAATGTAGCTGGTCTATTATTTTGATGTTAGGATTAAATTAATTTCGACAAATGTGTATATATCATACCAAGTTTAAATAAGTTATTAGTTGAATTGATAGTAGAAGTCGTCTGATCGGAATATATTTGGGTTTTTGAGTTTCATTTTGTTCGGTTGAAAACGAATTCGAAAATTTGATTTTATCGTAGATGTTTAAGACTTTAACTTTCTCTTTTAGGCCCGCTCGTTTCGAGTGTGGTAGAAAGAAAGCGAAACTGGATTTACAGAATGAGTTGAACAGAGACGAAATGTTTGCTGTATAAAATTTACAAATGTATATGTAATGTATTTATATAAGAAATAACGTTACTAACTTTTAAAAGAACACTTCAAGTATTCCAAAATCAAACTCTTATTAAAAGTATCGCCAATTAAACTCAATCGATAAAATCAATAATTCAGCTCAGACGAATTCTACTACCAAGAATCTTACATGTAAATTTATTCGGATTTAAGTAGTATAAAATTATTTAGACAAAGAAAGTAAAATTAAATTGGTTATTTTCTGATGACGGATTCTATGAGATTCCGATAAATTATGTATTATATCATTTTCACTTCTCTGTCAAATTGTACCTATTGTATATTCATGTGTATATGCGAACGTATGTGATTATGTATATAGTTGTAGAAATTTAGTGAATGTCATCAAATCATATTAAGTTAACATTAATTATGATAAACATAAATAAATGTTCATAAATATATTTTGATATAAAATTTAACATCATCTTTTTATTATTTACATTTCAGGTGATACAATTACATTAATTTGTATAAATTATTGACAAGTGAAATCATATCTTTGATAACTATTTTATCGAAGTCTAAAAATGTTTCTTGTATCAGATTAAATCATGTGTATGGTTTTAACATGCAATAAAAGATAGTATCAAATTTCGCAAATAATTACAAACAAGAATAGCTTATAGTGCATTTGCAAATTTCGTCGGATCAAAAAAGTTAGCTATTTTGTTCATTACTCTAACAATAGTAATTTGGATAATTAGTGCAAATTTCATTTAAATGAATACTTTTATTTAATCCTCAAAAAGCAAAATTGAAACCAATCATAAAAATCATTTAAATAAATAAATAAAAATAAATAATTGTTCGAATCGGGGGTACCGCATGTTCCATATTTAACACATGGCACATGTGTCTATTTATGTGAATAAGTCATATAAAACAAAACACTATTTACAATATGAAGTTCACATAAAACAAATAAATCATTTTATGATATTTTTGGGATATTGAAATATATAATATTTTTTTGATAATAATTAAATTATTTATGATTAACATATAGAGTAAAAAAAATAATTTTGCGATACTTTTTGTCGAGGGCATAATTGACTTCAAGAAAAGATCATCGATAAGGGATATACTTTTCTATATATAGAATAAATAAAACGAATAGAAATTTTTAATCAAATTACGTAAAATCGATTTAGTCCCTTAATTTTCAATGCTAATAATTTAGCTATTCACTTTATTTATTTAATATGAAGTTGCATTACAGGAAAGTCAATTATTAGTCGATTTTTTTAAAATAAATTCAGCAACACATATAACTTTATCATGTCGGATACCAACAAAGATATTAATCAATACATTCTCGTATTAAAAATAAAACAAAAATTTTATCAAATCATCCAAAACTGAATTCGAAATCATCCTTTAGTACATATCTCACGACTTATCGGCTTCTCTTATCTGTGAAAGTAACTAACTGTCAGGTTAATCAAACAGACACCTTCATTATATATATATATATATATATATATATATATATATATATATATATATATATACATTAATATTTATTACTTGTTGGTAATTAATGCTGTTTATTGAAGGAAAGATAACATGCAAACGTTTTCAAACAAAAATCGCGCTAACGTCTTTAATTTAATGTTTTCACGTATGACCTCTTATAATGCACACGATGACCCAAATATACTGGGGATCAAATGCGTAAATTATATTTTAATAAAATTATCACAGTAAATAAATGTTTGCTGATTTGAAAAATTTATAAATTAATAAACCATTTATAAAAACTGTAAATAATTTTTTTAAAATACCTAATAAAGTCTTACTCTTTTTTACCTATTAGAGTAGGTCCTTTAATTATGCTGGAGTATGTGGGTTGGGCACAATAATATCTCACATGCAAAATTATTTATCCTGCTCAAGAAGTACATATTTCATCACAAATATCAATTAAATTGGTGCAAATTAAATCATGATTAAAACGTCTGTCTGCTGGCTAATTCTAGCAGCAAAATGCTTCTAATAATACAACATTTAATATTTGGACCTCACCTAAAACTTCTTGTTCCAAACACGTGTACGATATAATTCAGGTCTAGTTGCCAATATGAGTATATAGACAAATTAATCATGTTAACGAATTTCTAAAAAAAAAGTTGAATTCGAAGACAGTTGTTACTAACTACAATAAAATTATAGGATAATATATCTATATAATATATAATATCAAGTCAGCGCAAGTCCAATATTTTATATCAGTGATTTTATGATCATCAATAAAATATTCTACCGTTTTTAATTATAATTAAATTTGTTATGCCAATAATTATTACTATTACATGGATATATTAATGAAGATCCAATTCGTGATTTATTAATATAATCTGTTTATTATATAAATTCATACATCTACAATTAGTGAAAGTGTTCAGACATTATTTAATCTGATTCAGAATTTTATTATGATATTGAATCATGAGATTTTTAATAAAAAGTGAAATATGATTATGTAAAGTTATGCTCACTGATCATATCGTATATCTGAAGATACAAGTACAAGAATAATTGAATAGATGATTATTTATATAAAGAAAAAATCATAGAAAAAAGTTATGAATGTGTTTAAAAAACCCCAGAATGACCAAACGTCCAGGATTCTCTGTGAAAGGTATAAAAACTTTTCTTTCAAGAAGTCAATAAATACAAAAATTGAAAAGTAAAATTAGTGAAATAGTAGCATTCTTTAGTACTATATTTTTTGTTAGCAATTCATCTAAGAGATAATTTTAACGCCAATTGGATCAATTTCAATTGGACCACATTCAATTTGTAGGCCATTAAAGAGATAGTGTTAATAAAATATATCTATTCCACACTATCATTACATTATTCCAATTATTTTAATTATTATATCTTAAATTCTTCAATATTTTTATATTGATATACAAAATATCTATCTATATTATATATCGATTAGAGTGATCAAGATCGAAAGATCGATGTACATTTGTAAATAGATTTCCTAATATTGCGTTATGTATGTTTTATTAAGTTTTTTTTTAAGTTATAGGAAATTTTGAATAAATATTTAATTAAGCATGTACGCAATTAGCAAAAGCAAATAATAGATATATTAACCTGCGCAATTTGCAACTAAAATAGATAAATTGATCTATAAGTTCATATGTTAAAATAAATAATAATAAACATTAAATGATTATATATTTTTTAATTTCTCAAGACTCAATTGCAATCTGTTTTTAAAAATCTAATTTTTATTAAGAATATTACTTTTTTTTCAAGTATTATAGATAAAATTTAGATAAAAAAAATCATAAAAGTTCAACTATTTATGAAAAAAAAATTATATTATTCATTCTACAAAGAATATATTTCGACTATTTTGTCTGATTAAATTTTAATCAAATATACATATATTAAAGATTGTTATATTTTTATTTGTTATATTTTATTTAATATAAAATTTTCAACGAAAAAATATTAGAGAGCATTTTGATGATGTTTTCCTACACTTGGAATAGCTTGAATATTTTGTTTTTAAATTAAGAAACCTAACTTAATAGCATTAAATTATTCATTTTATAACCTTGCCTAATATATGAAAATTATTATGTCCAATTTTAATAATACAAGAATTTTTAAAAAAATATGGAAAATCCCTTAGAAGTCACCGGGTTGAATTAACAAATTAATTAAACTTTCCTGCGAAATTTCAGTGGATTTGGTTCAAAATAAGTCTTAGTTTCCTGGAAAATGAAACAAGTGGTTTCAAATAAGGTGCACCTCAAAATATAAATACACAGAAATCAGAGAGGTTTAAAAAAGAAACATCTTCAAAGTTTTTGGGTATTTGCAGAGATTCCTTCAAACAAAGTTTTCTACAAGTGCTTGAAAGTCCAATAGGCTTTCTTTAGATTTGTTCTGGTGCATTCAATTACATACCCACATCCAAAACTACGATGCATTGACCTATTTTAGAATGAATAAATCCTACACTACTAAGAACCTTAATATGTCAAGCGCCGAGTCCTAGATATTTAAACTGGCACCATACAACTGCATACATTTGATTTTAGTTAGGTCAGTGGTTTATTTACCAAGGTTAAAATGTTTGGGACAAATTTAATTGCATGACACTTTGCTTACATTGTGAAGCAAACTATTTATAGAAAATCATTATTTCAAATCACAATCAGAATTATGGGACATATGTTATGCTATAATTATAACCAAAGTCTTATAGATTTATAGAGGTTTATATTTGCACCACTTGTCACGCCTGTTTGGTAGTTTATAATTAATTTATGTTTTGGACCTGGGAGAACAATATACTGTTGATGCTCACTAGGAACTATAATTTTCCTAAAAAAGGTAAGAAAGAATAAAATGACTTCGCATTTAGGCAAACGTAAAAATCGAGAAACAACAATTGAGAAAATAAGAATACATTCAAGGCAAACGAAATACAAAAGCAACAACTTTTTGGAAAGGCTCTAAAAAATATTGTGTTTGTAATTCTATAGTATTGTTGTGGCCAAAGAACACAACGATCTTCATGGCATTGAGCTTTTATACCGAAAAGTTGCTACACCGTGGTGGCACTAATTGGATAGGACTCACTTTTCATTTCAAAGACAAAGTATGTGGTAAAATATGTAACAAAT